ACAGGAAGCCACACACACACACAGGCACACACACAAAAAAAAATAGAAGGAAACCCCGTAAGAAAAACAAAAACAAAAAAAGAAAAACGGAGAGACAGATGCCGTAACATTTGTAGCGAGCATCCAATGTGAGTTCCACAAAAAAAAAAAAAAAAAAAGGCACACTTGCAGTGGGGGAATGGGACTGGGTGACTGCACCGCACTCTCTCCACTCCTCATCCCACGCAACTCGTGCTTTTCCCCTTCTCTTTCCAGCAATATTCATATGATGCCGTTGCGGTACGTCGTACCCCGCCGCCTCGTTGCGCATGTAAGTGATTGCGAGGGGAGGGACACACAGAAGGAAAGAAGGAAAGAAAGGAAGAAAAAAGGGGGCGGGGAGAGGAGGGGAGGGAATAAAAAAAAACAAAAACAAAAAAAAGATCATGGTGCAATCGTGTGCCGTAATAAGTCGTCATGCACCAACACTGTGAGCCCCAGTAAAAAAAGAAAGAAAGAAAGAAAAGGGCGGGGTAATAAAACCAACAACAACCAAAAATAAAAAAATATATATATAATAATGATAAAAACAAAAATGCACAAGCAAAAAAAAAGAAAAAAGCAGAGTACGTAGAAGGAAAAAATAAAATAAAATAAAACGCTAAGTACATTCAATTCTCAAGTTTTAAGTGCATCTTGCCGTGCAATTGTATACGTACATACAAGTATGGAGGGTATATTCCTCATCTCCCTCCTCGTACATCAACAGGTGCCAAGACCAGAAAAAACGATAAAAAAAAAAGTGAGAGGAGCCTTGTCTCCTTTCCACACACACACACACACACATGTATGTTTCTTTCCCCCCCCCCCCCCCTTCACCCCTTCCCCTCCCCGTGCAGTCTCAACCACTCCCCTGCCTCCATGTCGTCCCATGCAAAAACAAACAAACAGGTGTACATATATATATATATATATATATAAGGTAGGTAAAAATAAATAGATAGAGCGAAAGAGAGATCTAAAGTACGATGCAGATATATAGATAGATATATATATAGATATATAGATAAAACTAAAATAAATAAATAAATAAAATAAATAAATATATATATATATGTCAAACGGATGTGCACAGTAGTTACAAAGGAAAAAAAAAAAAAAAAAAAAAAGTACATATATTTTGATATATACAGAGGCATATGAACGGACATTCAAAACACCTTATGAGTCATCAAATAAAAAGCTCCCAAAAAACCAAAATAAGTAGGAAAGATAAGTAAAAAAAAAAAACAAAAAACAGCACCAAAAACAAGGAGAAAAAAAAACAAAAAAAAAGGGGGGAGACAAGGAAGTAAATTCGGGAAACCAAAAAAGCGGGCCTGTAAGTTTATATATATTTTCCCAAACATCGGGGGTTGATATTACAAACCCTGCGTTGCTTGTGTGCGCGTGTACAAAACTGAGAGTACAGCAAAAAAAAAAAAAAAAAAAAAAGTGCTTACGGTACATTCAAAACACAAACAAAAATCAAAAGAGGCTCATAACGCATACAAATAAGAAAGAAAGAAACCAAAAAAAAAAAAAAAAAAAAGAAAAAAGAAAAAAAGATATCTATCTGTAGATGTAGATATATAGATAGATAGATAGATAGATATATATAGATGTAGATAGGGAGAGAGGAAGAGGAAAGGAGGGTTATGACGGCTGCATTTCAAAGGATGTAATAATAATAACAACAACAACACCAAGAAAAAACAACAACAATAACATAAAAGATGCTAGATAAATACACATAAAGAAAACACACACAGACAGACACATGTAGATAGGTAGATAGAGAAATAGATAGTTACATGCGTTGGGGTGGGAGGTTTGACACGGGTAAAGCCACGTGACTTCTTTCCTTGCGTTTTTATTTTGGATCATTTCCATTTTTTTTTTTTTTTTCTCTCCTTGCGTTCCATTTCCCCTCCACACCCAACTCCCCTTTTGATTTTCCTCCTTTTGTCTCCCCCTTTCTTCCTTCCTTTCCTTCCGCACCACGACGGCCGTTGGCAACTCACATGAGGCACAGCCGTCGAGGGCCAAACGCGTCGCTTCTCCTTCCTACATGCGACTACTGGCGTACACACACACACACACACACACACACACATGTAGACGCCGAGTGGTGGTGGGTGATTGGGGCGGGGCGAAACAGGGGAGGAAACAAAGGCCTCAAATTTGCCCTTCACACTGCGCCCCCTCTCCACTCTTTTTGTGCGTGTTTGTGTCTCTCTCTGTGTGTGTGTGTGTGCGGCTTAATCATCTTTAATAGGGGAGGAAAGGATGGGGGGCGTGAGGCTGGTGAACAAAGAAAACAAACAAACATACACTTATATATATATATATATGTGTGTGTGTGTGGGTGATTGGGTCCACATGCGCACCCCAAGCACGGCAAGGGCGGGCGGACCTCACAAACAAAAATAAAACAAAACACACAAAACACACAAAGAGATAAAAATAGAGAGAGAGGGAGAAAGAAAGAGTGAAACAAACAAACAAACAAACAACACACCCACACAATGCAGCGAGCAGCGATTAAATAAGACGGGACCCTCCTCCTCCTCCTCCTCTTCCACAAAACAGAAAAAACAACAACAAGAAGAAAACGCCACGGCGAAAAAAAGAAAAAAAGGTGCTTTGCGTATTGACACGGAGATAACACTTCATGTAAAAAAACAAAAAGAAGAAAACAAAAAAAAAAGGTCACAAAACAACAACAAATCATATGCACACACAAACATGTAGCCGTGCGTGTATCATGTCAGATAGAAAAACAAACAAAGAAAGGAAGGAAAAAAAAAAAAAAAAGAAACGGCCGAAGAAAGAAGAAGAAAAACAAACAAACAAACAAACAAACAAAAGAAAATAAACAGAGAGGGAGGGATAAAGAGACTAAGTGGCCAGAGAAAAAGAATACACCACAGACCCAAATTCCTCTTTGTTACCTCCACAGCTGGAAGGAAAACCAAATAAATCAAAAAGAAAAAAAAAGAAAAAGACGGCTAACAAAAGATATATATATATATATGTAGAAAGTGAAAGAAAAACGCACGGAAAAATAACTGCAAAACAACAAACACCACACACACACAAAAACAAAAAAAAAAAAAAAAAAAAAAAGAAAAGAAGTAAAAGAGAAAATGAAGTGAGTGCTGAAGAATTCTGCAATTATACATGTACGCATATATAAGTCGAAAGAGAGACATATGACATATTACACAATATAAATATATATAAATATTTATGCATGCATATAATGCAATGTAATGTCATATGTAATGTGTGCGTGTGCGTGTGTGTGTGTGTGTTAAGGTAGATAAGTGGAAGAAATAAACGGAAAGGGTATATTCTTGCGGTGATGTCGACATTACCAAAAAACAAACAAACAAACAAACAAAAACAAAAAAACAAAAAAGAAAAAAAAAGAAAAAGGGCTGGACTTCGCACAAGAAACGCCTGTACTTCAGACATCATCGCTTTTCTCTCTTTTCTCTTTTCCACACATCATCATTTCGTTGTACATTCTCTCATTGACACCATTCCCGCTACGCAACCACCTTGTCAAACTCCAAACCGTATATAAATATATACATTTTAACAGAAGAAACAACAACACATCTTCCTTTCCTTCCTTTTTTTGTTTCCCTTCCATCCAAATGCTCTCGCTTCCCCTACAAGACGCATCCCATTATTTTTTCCCTCATTTCTCTCATTCCCCTTCCCTCCTTCCCCCTCCCCCTCGTTTCCGGAGCACAGTCCCGGGCACATGAGCCGCGGCATGAATGAATGAATGAATCAAGAGGGGGGAGGGAAGGAGGGAGGGGGAAGGGGTGGTGGGTTAAGAAGGAAAAGGAAACCCCCCCCAAAAAAACAAGAAAAAAACATCAACAAATAATAATAATAATAATAAACCTAAGACCATCCATATATACACACATATACACATATACACATATATATATATATATATGTATGCATATATACACGGATTTGTGGTCTCACAAGCACAGAATATTCAGAAAGGGTCAAAAAAGACAGAAGTTTCACACGAAGAAGCAGAAAAAGAAACAACAACAAAAAAACCAGGGAAAATGTCGCACAGGAACGTTCAGAGATAAAAGCAAAACAAAACAAAACAAAACAAAAAGCAGCGACCAAACATAAAAAAAAAAAAAAAACAAACAAAAACATCAAAAGACGACCTACGAGTCTCTCCTTTCTTTCCTCCTTTCTTTTCAGTCACCCACTCTCCCTCTCTCTCTCTCTCACTCTCTCTCTTTCCCCCTCCGCCTGCGTGTGTGCGTGCGGAGTGTGGGGGATTCGGGAGGGGGAAAAAAAAGAGTATGGACGCAACGGTGGCGCTGGACGTAGAGGAATGATTGCAAACGACAAGTCACATGCACACAAATATTACACGGAGGCAAAGAAAAAACAAAAACACGCACACAAAAAAAGAAAACCCTGAGGGAGAGGAACAGGGAATACACGTCTGGCTATTCATTTTGCGGAGGACATCACTGCAATCACCGCCGTCATGACTGACGCTGACAACAACTTTACCGCAT